ATTCATCCCTTCTGGAAGAGACTTTGGATGCATATTGAGTTTAAGTGCTGGGCTAGAAGACAAAGCAGTTGGCTGTAGAAACAGCAGGCTCAACAATATTTCACTAGAAGATTGGCATGGGAAGATGGAAGAGTGACTGACATGTAGAGGATTAGCTGTATAAAATTTGGTTTCCTGAATCATACCTTTGAATACTCAATTTATGTACATACGTATGTATTTGAAAGGCAAAGTTAGAGACACAGAGAGATGGACAGATAGATGATACATTCTCCAGCCACTGGTTCATTCCACGGTTGGCGCAATGCCCAAGAGTAGGTCAGGAGCCAGGAGCTCCATCTGGATCTCCCCAAATTTCCTGGGCCATTTTCCTGGTGCTTTCCCTGGCACATTATCACTGACCTGGATTAGAAGCAGAACAGCCAGGACTTGAGCCACTGCTCATATGGAATCTCGGCATTGCTAGTCAGTGTCTTAACTTGTTGCAGCACCACGTCAGCCCTGGGAAGAAATTAATCATAGAGTGTTTAACCCATACATGAAAAAATAAAAATAAAAAGATGATGAACATTAATCTTGAGGGAAGAAGGACATGGCAAGGTCTGATTGACTATTGCACCTCTACACAAAGAAAACTTCTCTTGTGACATAAATCGTCATATTCATTCAGTTTGGAATTCCAAATAGAAGACTTTTGGATATTGACTGTATTATTTCTGTAATACAGTAAACAGATTACTAGGTATACATGACAATTTTAACTACAGATACTTTACATCAAGGATTACACAAAAGATGGATGGTACAGCATTTGATTAAAAAGCAAGTCATGTTGTTGTATTTTACACTCCAGTTTAATTGTACAAAGCAAGTTAAAAAAACAAACTGGCATGAAATACATAAAAATTGTTAAAATAATCTTATTAGGAAGCTAGTTTGTTTTGCAAATCTGGTAACTTTTTTAGTTTTTAAAAAAATGTAGGCTGGATTGTGAGAATGTAGTGAACTGCTGATTTTTTTTTAATGTCTTCCACAGGATACATGGAATGACTAAATAATTGTTCAGCCTCATGTCATTTCATGTCTCCCTCTACCCCCACCCCCACACTGGACAACTAGTTACTGGACTAATGGATTAGCAAAATGCTGTAGACGCAGTGTGGTTTGGTTTAATCACAGCATGAAAGATTTTTTGGGGGTCATAAGTGACAGAAATCTACTAAGATTTGCTAGAAGATTTGTGTGCAATCTAAGGTAGAAAGTTGAGCTGACAGAAATCAGCAACTAGAATATCAACAATAAAGGCGGATATAGGTATTTGTCTCAGTGGTATGCTGGTTGAGATACTGTGTCCCTATAATGGAGCATATGACTTTGAAACTTGACTCTAATCCTGCTAGTGCAGACCTTGGAGGCAGCAGAGGTGGCTCAAACATTCTATCACTATTCCTGGGGAGAACTGGATTGGGTCCCCCACTCTTGGCTTTTACCTGGTCTGGCTCTTGCAGATATTTTGGGATGGGAGAACTCTATCCAAATATATTTTTCAAGGAATCAAAACATGTATTACCTGCATCTTGTTAAAAACCCACAATTCTTATCCCTGATTTTTCTTACGTCTTGCTTTGTTCTCTTCTCCATTTTCCCTTCAAACCCATGTTCTTAGCTTCTGTGATCCACAGGCAAAAATGCCGACATTATATATAATAAAATTTCCACATAGCTCCAGCAATTCTGGCCAACTCTTAAGACGCCAGTATCTCAACTTTAAATTCCCACATGAGAAAAATCTGACCAGCTTGGTCTTAGGTTCCACTGCTGGCCTTGGAGACAGGTGGGACCTAGTTAACATACATGTGACAATACGTGGTTGAGGGTAGAATTCCAAGTGGGAAATCATGGTTTGGCAGGCAATTCAACAGGGTTACTTGGGTTTTCCAGGAGTCCTGAGACTCAAGGTGGAGAAATGGGAGTGGTTCAACACACAATAGGCTAAAACTACTTAAATGATCACATCTAAAGATAATCAGTGACTCCTGATAGAGGTTTCTAGAGGGATCTGCTCTCAGATCTCAGAAGCAGTTCTACAGTTGTATTCAGCATGAATCTACCCTCAACATCTTAGGTTCCTGGACCTAATGAACTGGCCTACCACTTTCCCTAATCTCTCTTGGCCACACTCCTAATTAATGCTTACTTAATTAAGAAAAGCAGAACTGTTATGTTTAACAGCAAACCTGCTGACTGATCCACATCTGTATTCATAATTTTCCTTCTCTCCTAGAGAACAGATGGACCATCTTTAGTCCATCTGCACTGTCAATTTCATCAAATCTTTAAATTCTTGCATTGGGACTGGCGTTTGGTCTGGTGGTTAAGAAGCCAGTTAAGACACTTACATTTCACTATGGAGTGCCTCAGTTTAAGTTCTGTTTCTGCTCCTGATTCCAGCTTCCTGCTAGTGTAGACTTGGGGATGCAGTGGTGGAGGTTCAAGTGGGTGGATTTTCACCTCACACATTGGAGACCTGGCTGAGTTCTTGGTTCCTGGATTCAGCTTGGCCTAGCCCGGGCTGCTGCCAGCATTTGGGGAGTGAATTAACAGATGTGATTCTTTGTCTCAGTCTGTATTTTCCTGTCTCTACCTTAAATAGGATCTCGGTTGACAGGCTCAATACCTGCTCTAGACAGGGGACTTTGAACATTTCTCCTGGATGCTACCTTACCATTCACTACCCATACACAATCTAGAGTGATGTGCAATGAAGTTTCAGTGAAATTACATCCTTACTCTGCTCAAAACTGTTCTGTGGCTTCTAAAAAAAAAAAAATCTTAAAAAGGAGTTGGGCCTGGTACCATGACATAGTAGGCTAAGCCTCTATCTGTAGCACTGGAATCCCACATGGATGCTGCTTTGAGTCCACTTCTGGCTACTCTACTTTCAACCAGCTCCCTGCTATGGCCTGGGAATGCAGTGAAGAGAATGGTCCAAGTCCTTGGGCCCCTGCACCCACATGGGAGATCGCAAGATACTCCTGGCTTCAGATTTCAATTATTTGAGGAGTGAACCAGCGGACAGAAGACCTGTTTGTCTCTCATCTATAACTCTGCCTTTCAAATGAAAATAAAAATTAAAAAAAATTTTTTTTTAAGTCAGGTGCTAACCACAGCTTACAAGTCATTTCGTTCCTGGATACTCCTCAGGTTTGATCTACTGCACTTCCTTCCTTCTCATACTGGCCTCCATTGTTCATTGTCAGTACCAAGCACACTCCTTCCAGACATAACCTTTGCCTTGCAACTCTTCTGTAAGTTGTGTATGGTCTTCCCCCTTATTTACTTTTAGTTACTTCCTCAAAGAGTCTTCTCTGATTATAGTATAGTACACATTTGTCTATAGTACCTTACTATTTTTCTTTCTGTTACAGCTTAACAGTGTATTATCTACTTATTTTGTCATTCCTTTTTGGTCATGAAACCAGAGACCTTGTTTGTTTTAGCGACTTATATCCCTAGCACCAGAAATATATACTCATGCCATAAACACACTACATGGTAGAAAGTGATTATGTATAAAATACTCCAGTATTTATGGCCTAAGAAGTAATTAGACGAATACTTATTCTGGAGGCAGAAAGAGTTGGTGATTGAGTGTGTGAGGGAGATATTGCAAATGATGCTTTGGTTTTTGTTAAGAGCACAAGAGCAGGTAGGGATGTCATTTACTGAGAAGAGGAAGGTAAAAGCAGCAGATTTATAGGAAAAGTTGAGTTGGACAGCTAAAACTTGAAGTGTTGAGATATTCAAATGGTGAAGTTAAGCAGTTTCATAAGTATGTCTGATTTCAGTTGACTAATCTGCCTTCTTGTTGTATTCTTTTCAAGTTAAGTTTTCTTTAACTGGTCCTGAAGGCACCTTTTTTTGACAACTCCATGATTAAGTATAACTCAGACTCTACAGTGGATACACTTGGTTGCTGAAATGCAGTCTGACTGATAGCTAATGGGGCTTCCATTTTATTAGTCATGTAAGAGCTTTCTGATAACCAAGAGTAATGACAGAGAAACGTTTACCATGTGGGAAATTGGTCACCATACCCAGATTCACAAACTACTTATTCAACAAAGTACCTACTAAGTATGTTATTCAAGTGGGCAAATGGGTCTAGGTGGGGAAAAGGCCATTTGACAACAGGAAATGGGTTCTTCCTGCTGTTCATCAGTTTATCCCAGACTGCTAACTGCAATACAAACCCCACTCTGTAGGCTACATCTAGCAGGCCAAGACTGACTCGTCGACTTAGGCGTATGCTTCTCATGGCAGCTGAGAGAATTTCCAGTTCAACTTGGAAGTGAATTTTCCTTTGCCTTTTTACAAAGTCCCCCAGTATTGACTGAATTCACTGAAGATACAGTGTTTCTGTGTACTACCTGAAACATTCTGGGAGCCTCATAACACTGCGCTTTTTCATGTCCTGGAGATGTTGCTTTCTTGAGTCATCTGGGCCAGGTCAACCAGCATCTCTAACCATTTAACATTTAAGTCTGGCTTATGAATGTGTGAAATATTTTTGCATTTTGGCAGAGTAACAGAGTGCATGACAGAGATCTTCCAGCTTCTTGGTCACTTCCCAAATGGCCACAATCCAGTAGAAGCCAGGAGCCCAGAACTTCCCTTCACCCACTTCTTAGGTGGGTAAGACACCCATGTATATGGGCATCTCCCACTGCTTTGTCAAGTGCATTAGCAGAGAGCTGGATTTGAAGCAGGGCAGCCAGGTTGCCAGTAAACTGTGACATGGGATGCTGGTGTCACAGTTGGAGCTTAACCTACTGTGCTAAAAGCAGGCTCTAGAGAGGTATTTTTTAAGCTTGAGATGAAGTGAGATGACAGGCAGAAGAGTGCCTTAATTGCTTGGTTTGCCTGAAACTAGGTGGCTAATGTGAAAACAGATACTTTTGAGATACTTTTTCAAGTTTGACAGTATTTCAAAAGAAACTACAGTTATCTTCAGGGGAGATATTATGGTCACACAGGTGATTTTCCTAGGGCGAGGTTCACCCATTGCACTTGGGATGTGCTGACCCCTGCGATTTCCCCAAATGTGGGAAATTGGACTGCTGTAATCTGTGACAGTGGGGGACTGTGTTCACGCTCCCTACCCCCCTCCCAAAAACCCAACTTTGCTAAAAGGCAGAAAGAGACGGAGAGCTTCCATTGGCTCCTTCACATCCCCAAATGCCTCAACAGGCAGGGCAGGGCTGGAGTAGGAGGGAACTCCAGGGACTGTGACATTGGATGCAAGCCCAAGCTTATTTGTTTGTTCATGTATGTATGCATGTATTTGACAGGCAGGCAGCTCCCATCCATAGGTTCCTCGCTGAATATTTTGGCAGATGGAAAGAAACGTGCAAGTCATTACCACTTTCAGATAAACTTCACTGGCTCTGCCTTTGTGAGCTGCTTCTTGAGGAGGCTTGGTATTCAGATGTTTCCAGAACCTGAGCTACGGTCTTGAGTATGGGTTCTTCTGCAACGAAAATTCAACTCAAATCCCGTCAGTTTGAAATCCTTCTTTAGATTTATGGATGATGTAGAACTCACACAAATTCATTTAACTACATACTAGAAAACAAATATTCAATCTCTCAAGCTGCTGGCTGTATTTTGCAAACTTTTCATTTTTTCAGATGCTGGACACATACTGAACAAAAGTCTTTGTTGACTTCAGAAGTTCCTAGAAGCTTCACTTCCTTCTAGAGAGAGCAGATGGCAGGCAGCGGCAAATCCTAAAGTGCGAACAATCTGGTTCCTGGCCCAGGCACTTGGAATTTCCAATAGGTCTATTAGAGAATAATTTTACTGGTGCCCTGAAACGCTTAACGGTGTCTTTAAAAACCACCACCACCACCTCAACTCAACAAAACTCGTAAAGATGATTCATCGCAGTTCTACTCGTACACTTTAATACAGAGACTCCACAGAAAACGTGAAGTGAATTCTTGATTGAATACTATTTTCTACAGCGAGTCGCGGTAGGTTTTCAGATCTTGCAATGAACACGGGCAAAGCAAAAACAACCCTGATACTAGAAAACGCACAAGGGTACCTGCTTTCTTGGCCGACACATTCCAGGAGACAAGAGGGCGAGGGCAAACAAAAATGTTCACTGAAGGGCGTCTTTTAAAAGACAAAAATATTTTCGAGTCCTCACCGACTCCGGAGAACAGCGGCTGTAGGGCTGAAAGCTCAGTGTCCCCGGACCCGCGCGGCCGGAGCCGATGCCAGCAGCCGGGCATGAGGCTCACAGTCGCCTTTGCGCCAAGTGCCCCGCACACCCGAACGGGATGATGTGGCCGGTGCCCGACCAGCTTCGGGATGCCCAGAGGCGCTTGGCGTGGCGGAGAACCGACGAAGGAACCCCCCTCTGGGTTTCCCTCCCGTACCGCGCCCCACGTTTTCGGTGGTCCCCGCGCGGCCGCCTGACCCACGCCACTTCCGTTTCCTTTTAAAAGCCTGGCGCGACGCGTGAGACGAAGGTATAAAAGGGAGCGAGAGGGCGGGCTCGGGGATGGAGGAGGGAAAAAGGAGATTAAAAAAAAAAAAAAGCCTCTCGGTGGAGGGGGCGGAGGAGGCGCCAAGGGCGCGCTCCGTGTCACGTGACCGGGACGCGCCGTTCTTCCGTCGGCCATTTTAGGTGGTCCGCGGCGGCGCCATTAAAGCGAGGAGGCAAGAGTGGCCGCCGCTGTTTCTTCAATTTTTTTTTTTTTTTTTTTAAAGTGCAGCCGGGTGAGAGCGGGAGTGCGCTCCGCGTGAAAGTGGGAGGCGAGGCGGGCAGGCCAGGGAGCGGCACCGGAGCCTTCGGCGGAGGCAGGCGCGCACCGTCTCTGTGTGCTCGGCGAGGCTGAGCGGGCGCGCGGCCGGCGGCGACGGGGCTTACTTTGCTGCTAGTTTCGGTTCGCGGCGGCGGGTGTCTTGTCGGCGGCGGAGGCAGGAGCAGCATGTCGGAGGAGCAGTTCGGCGGGGACGGGGCGGAGGCGGCCACGGCGGCGGCGGCGGCGGTAGGCGGCTCGGCGGGCGAGCAGGAGGGAGCCATGGTGGCGGCGGCGGCGCAGGGGGCAGCGGCGGCGGGAAGCGGAGCCGGGACCGGGGGCGGCACAGCGGCCGGAGGCACCGAAGGAGGCAGCGTCGAGTCCGAGGGGGCCAAGATCGACGCCAGTAAGAACGAGGAGGACGAAGGGTGAGTAAGGGGGCGGCCCGGGATAGTGAGGCCCGAGTAGGCCCCCTCCCCCCAGGCCCCGCTCCCCGCCTTCTAGGCCTCGTTCCCGCTCTCGCCCGTCGGCCAGGCCAGCCCTGCAGCCTCCGCGCTCCGGTCCTGCCTTGGGGCTCCCAGGGACACCCCCTTTTTCACCCCCTCCGTCCCCGGCTGTCGCCGCCTCCCTCCCCTCTCCCATCGCACACACACACGTTGCCACCTATAGCCGTCACCGTGCAGCTGGCCGGCCCGCCCTCCTGTCCTCCCTCGGTCGTGGGTCGCCTTCCACCCACGGAACCGCCAGGATTTTTTTTCTCGCCTTGATGGGCATCATCTCCCCCCCCTTTTTTTTTGTCTGTTTTGGACACTTCCCCCCCCCCCCCCTTCTTCTGTGGCTACCTGTTCCCCTCATTTTTTCCTAAAGTGCTAGGCCTGCCCTCCTTCCTGGGTGCCCCCGAGTCGCCCCGATTGTTTGTGAGCTCAGGTTTTGGGGGACGTCCCCGCTCCCGCGACGCCTTCCAGGCCGATCTTTCCCCAGCCCGTGGAGGAAGTTTGGGCTGGGGGTTTGTCCGCCGCCGCCCCGCGGGTGCCCCCTTCGGCCCAGGGCACCGCCCGGCCCTGGTGTTATGGGCCTCGGCCATGCCAAATTCCTGGGCAGCAGCGGCAGGGCCTGCGCTTGACTCGGAGCTCCTGCTCCCCGCCCCGGCCCCCGCCGGGGTTCTAAGCGCGCACCCATTTCGTGCCTTCCACTCGGGTTTCCCGATGGTTCTTATCGATTCGGTGCACTTCGCCTTTTTTTTTTTTTTTCCTGTAATCCTTCTTTATTTTCTGGTGCCCAGGTCGGCTTTTTTCTTTTTTGGTCTGTGGATTCCTCTCCCTGTAAAAGGAGGCCTACTGGCCCTCTTTCATAAACTGAACACATCCTGTATTGTGCTGTGGAATTTTTTTGGGGGGGAAGAGGAGGTGCGTTCAGTACAAACTTGCTTTCTCTATTTGGCGTAACGGTTCTGACTGTACTACCTAAAGCTGCATGTGATGGGTTGGAACGCAGCCTTGGGATCGGGAGCCTAGTGCGGGAGTTAGGAGGGATGAGTCGGGTTGTGGTTGGGCGTTCTTCTTCCCGAACTGGCTGCTGATCCTGGGTCAGTGCTTTTGTAATAGGGAATGTGTGTGTCTTTCTCACTTTGGCCAGGCGAGAGGTGTTGATGGGAGGGTAACGGCAACGAGACACCGTTTTAGCCCCGTGAAAACACGGTTTCCCTCGGTGGGATACAGCAGCAGGGATGAGGGAGGGAAGGGGACGAGGCGCTTTGGAATATAGATTGTGATAATCCCAGCCCAGGCCAGCTTGCCAGGCTGGTTTGCTGCTTGGGCTGGCTGGGGGGTGGGGGGAGTGCAGGTGGAAGGGGTGGTGAGCTTTTTCCAGTTACACGAAGCTTGAATTCTGTGTTAACCTAGTTGGAGAAAGGAATATGTTAACTATTTGGAAATTCAAGCCTGTAACATTTTGGTTTTTACTTTGTGAATTGTTTGGACAGAGGCACCAGAATGATTGCGTAACTTAAAATATTTGAGACAGGTTTTCTGTCAGCCCCGAGTTTTCCCGATCACCGAACAGTAGTTACCTACTGTTGAAGTGTAGATGAATGAAAAGTTTTTAACCCTTACAATGCCAAAAGCTAAAACTAGCATTTTGATTGGTTGCTGTACCGGTTGTTAATTCCCTAGCCATTCAAACTCCTCCCCACGACACACTGAAGCAGCGACGGCACAGCGGGAAGAATGGTAAAACTTTTAAATTTTATTTCTGTATTATAACGATTTCAGTGATAACATACGGAATCTGTATACTGGTTAGTTGCCCATTGATCCCCAGGGAATTCTAGACATTACTGTAGGCTGTCTTGTACCTGGGATATAAAAGCTTTTCAGCATCGTGCATAATCTTTGGGCAACGTTGATGCCATTAACGCGGTGTTTGCTGTTGGGCAGTGCATGATTGAAGCGTGACCACTTTGTGCTAAATATGTTTAGTAATAGTATCTATATCTGGAGAAGAGAAATTTAATGTAATTTCCCATTTGATTTGTTTTTGTTGAAAAACTTTGGTTAATTCCCAACTTTGGTTAATTTGTTTAATGCTAAATATGAAGACTCCCTTGCTATAAAATATTGTGTACTTAAACTATCTTGCATGCTATACTAAAACGTTTGGAGCTGTCAGAAGTAAAACCATTGAAGTAGTACTGTGTTAACGTAAAAATGTTTGTCTCGTTACCGCCCTATTTGTACTTTTCACTTAATGACCATTGGCTGTGTACTGTCAGAGGCGGGCCAGTGTGGCTTTCCATTACAGCTCTTACCAGATTTTTTATTTTCAGTGTGATTTGGCTGGAATGTTAATTACAGTTGGTTGACATGTATTCACAATTGCATGACTTCTCTTTGGAGGCTGGTAGGTTGAGTATTGTTCTTTTTATCCTGCCTTTCCCCTCTCCTTAATGTCAGTCTAATACCTTTGGGATATTTGAGTTTTCCATGAGTTGGGATTGCTACCTGTGGAGATGAGGAGGCCTGCAGCTTCTAGACAGTTGCTATTTCTTTGCACAGACTACATTCTGTTTTAAGAACCCATTTGGATAACATTTAAATTTTACACAGGATTTGTGCATTACTCAAAATCTGTCCAGTATTGGGTGGGGGAGAGACTAGAAAGAGTAGGCTAAATGAAAATCAAAAAAGAATATGAAAGTGGCATTGAAATTAAACATATAGAATAAAAATATGTGGATGAATAATATGAACATATTCCCCCTACTTGGTAACAACTTGACATCGATCAGTTTTATTGTTAGATAATGGTGACACATTAAAGATTATGACCATTTTTCATTAACTAGTAATTTC